TGCAAATCCTGGTCTGAGGGATCGGGACCTGGGCTTAAGATTCATCGTTGGAATTGGAGCGGTTAATCATCGTCCTCAATTTCGTCGTTAATCAAACTGCAGCCCATTTTCTCTATCCAGGATTCAACACAGAGTGGGACAAAAAGAATCCAGCATATTACAGAGATAAACCAATTGTAAATATTTTTCATCTCACCAGTATTGTCTCTACGTATGTCTTCGCTCGTCCACTGTGTAACGGAAGTGAACGTGGCTGACTCAATGGGAGATTAAGAGGTGGCCAGACAACTGACCAAATCTTCTGCCGACCATGCTGTTTGGTTTGTTTGCATGTGAGTCGTTCTAGATAGGGCATAGCCCGTAAACTCATACTACAATTGCTATTCTGTCCCATTATTTATTACCGTACTCTAATATCGCTAAGGATGTGGGTCAGGGGTAAACTAACTATAAAAGGGATGGCGTCATGCAAAATAGAGTTCAAGAAATAATTGAAGAGAGTAAAGAGGTGAAACTGATTTCGAGCGCGTCTGTATTATGATAACTCAGCATTTTATCCATCCATCTTAGGTTAGTTATGCTAGCGTGGGAATTTTTCTTAGTCCCATGGGAATTCCCATATTTCCCATGGGCTGCACCAAGGGGGGGTGCCCGGCCCATGGGATCTATGGGCATGTACGGTGGGCCGAAAATTCTAGGGTGCCCATGGGAAATGTCAAGGTCTAGGCTTTGACGGAGTTAGTAGCGCAGCTTCCGCTCGGAATTCTGTTAACCCATCTATTAGAAGAAGTGGTACACGCTAATGTATTTTCTACCGGATAGAGGAGGCTCTGGCCCAGCTTTCGTGGTCTTCTTTCCCTTCTTTTTAGATGTCTCGGTTTAAGAAGCTACTATATTCTGTAACGGATAAAGATCCTTACAAAGAGAATACCATGTCAGGCAGTCTTGGCAGATCGAGCCCACGTCGTGGCCGATCCGAGAGGGGTTCATCACATGATATACATGTCGACATTGGAGAGATAGATCCCTTATAGTCTGGGACCCCCCAGGGTCCCAAAAAGAGACTGGCAAGAATTAGTCTTGGTACTCCAGACAATACATTGTGTTCTCCTCCAAGCCATAGTATCTTACCCGGTTGACAGGCCATACACCTGGAAACAGTATACCTTTACGTATTCAATATATCAAAAGAAAGGTCTTTTATAAAGGCTACAAAGAGCAAACAAGAAAGGCTCAGTCTGGAAAACCAGGCATCTATGCATATATGTGAGATGGGATCATCCAACATATTTCAAGCCTGCTCGGAGAATAGAGAGCCTGTAATGTATTCTCAACGGTAGCCGCAATACGGCAGTAGAGCAAGGTAGGAATCAAGCGAGCAAGCCATCGCTCAGTCCCAACTTGATTGGATCAGAGCTGATGATCTTGTCGATATAAAGTCGTGTTTACCGGAATTCGTCATTGGTTCCAATTTTACCTTCGCGATCTAGCTGTGCAGATGCAAGAAGTTCAAGGCACAAGTCGCTTGGTACAAATGATAGCAAAGGCGGGACCAGGTGAGGACTGAGCTATGTAAGTCGCTGTCACAATTTTGGGACTTGGTCTGGTATTGTCTGGGATCTAGTTTTTTGCCGCAAGGACGAAGGTCATAAGTCAATCAGCAACAATACGAGTTGAACCTTGCCGTCTTCAGGAGGGAGCCATATTCCCAGCGCTATACAGGTGGGCTAAGCGCGCCAACAACCGAGGTGGGCCATCTGAGTCCGTTAAGGTCTGATTGTGCTCGGCCGTGGATAACCAGGACTGACGCAATGGTTTATAGTCCCAGTACGTAGCTAGTCCCGCGTCAGGGTCGGTTCGCTGATCAAGAAGATCTCCTACGGATCGCCCTTAGAGGCTTGTTGGTCGGCTGTCCATATAGTCACACTGCTAAAAAGTATTCATTTGTGAGGATACTACGCGGTATGTCTCATATTGGTTTGTATGACTACCAGAATACTAGAAAACTGACCTTTCAGTAACTAACTAATTAACTTGTTCACGTATTTCTCAATCGCACTGGCGACCTTAAAACACATAATAGATGCGATATATTCTACACTTGTATATCCACGACCACGCTCTTGTTTGGTTTTAAACTGTCTATCTTAACCAAAACGCCATTAATTGAACTAACTAATTGGTCTATGTGGACATGTCTTCCTTCTATGCCCTGACGGTCTACATATTCCACATCCATGCGTTGGAATCGATAGATCATTTGATCGAGAGTATCCTGCGGGAAAGCGAGCGGAAAGGGTCTGAGACTTGGATCTCCAGGGGACGAATATGCTAAATACCGACTGAACTCTAAATTAACTGTTTCAGAGTGGCACACCCTAGTTAACTCCTAGTAGTTCTCTCTAGTCAACTAGGGTTTCACATAAAGTGCTAATCTAGAGCTTGCATAAGATATCTCATAAGTTAAAAACTCTTCTAATCCCGGTATAACATAGGCGTTCCACATTCTGCGGAGATGAGCTAGTTCCTTGTCTCACATTTGGAAATCAATCTTGATTCCGCTTAGTTAAGCGGTGACTAGCGGGACCTCGGGAATCCATGGATGCTTCATTCGAACCCAGAGCTGTCACGCCGTGAAGCACTTACTTATCCGTGGAATGACGGGACAATGGTTTTGAGTCAGGGGGCTTGGCTGTTATCGTGAGGGTTGCAGCGTAAAGCGTGCAACACGGCTGAAGTGGATACAAAGGCGAAACAAGTCCCCATCAACCGTTTGAGCGTTCTGTCTAAGTTCTTGGTAGCAGGCACGGCACGACTCAATTATGGGGGCGGTGGGTCTGACATGGTGATTGTTGCCTTCTTACGGATCTATCGCACGATCGGCACTATGATGGTGAAACATGGGACGAAAATCTATAGTTAGACAGACCAACAGAACAAAATGAAACGGCTAGGGCTGTGTCTGTCAGGGACAAACTAACAGGCCACCTTGAGCTGATATAAAAGATCGACGTACGGTCGCCCAGTCGATAGTCTTCTCCTTAATCAACGTTTTTCTCTATCTCCAATACTCTCGTTCTAAGTAAGCCCTGGTGGCTGTCGACCATTACTTCTTATTCAATCGTTTACTATCGTCTGACTTCTGTTTCCATTACCATCGAAATGCGTTTCTTCCAGGCCCTTGTCGCTCTCCCTCTTATTGCAGGCACTGTCGCCAGCCCTCTCAACACACGCGCTACCCTCGAAAACTGCTCTGATGAGGGAGTGCAAATGATCAACAACGCACTCGCCCAGGCTGCAAAGATGGCCCATGCCGGCGCCAACCTCATCCGCAGTGAATCCGACTACTCGTACAGCCTCTTCCAGAGCTTCTTCAGGACTAACAGCGCCCAGTCCCGCAACCGCGTTGCTGGTGTATTGGACAAGATTGCCACAGAGGCCACGAACGGGAACCAGGGTGTTGTGAGCTACTACTGCACTCCGGAGGGCATCAACTGCGTTGACAACCATTCTTTCACCATGACTGCCTACGGTGAGACGGACGGAACCTACGGGAGAATCCGGACCTGCCCTGCGTACTTCACCAAGTTCCCTGCCTGGTCGAACACCTGCAGTGTTCTGGATCAGGCCACCTCTAGCTTGCACGAGATGGCCCATACCAAGGGGATCTTCGGTCCTGAGACGTATGGCTATAGCGCAGTGCATGGTTTGAGCTCTTCTTCCGCTCTTGAGAATGCTGAGAGCTATGCTTTTTTCTCCAAATGTAAGTTTCTCCATTGTTTCCATGGACATGGTGTATTACTAACGTTGTTGCTAAGCGGCTTTCCTCAACTGCGATATCACCAACTAAGTAATTTCCTTTTGGGACAGACAGTGTGTCATAGAGCGTTTATTACCAGGGTTAAGCCAGTGTCAGGACTGAAGTCGAGGTTGCATTTGATTGTCCTTAGTGGTCAGTTCTCATTCATTTTGTCACAAAGGTGGTACGAGGTCAACTCGCATCCGACCATTGTAGTATACATTCGCGAGACTCATGAGCCTCAGTACAAAGAAATTCTATCATTATTATGTATACATAATATACATTATCCGCGAACGTAAAAGACCTAGTGATTATGTTTCAGCGCAGTCTCTCGGTAGGTATGGCCCACAGTTGTATGGCGTAAATCTATACTGGGAGTTTTGTAACTGCCAGAAGGAGCAGAAGGCGAGGCCTCTCGGCATATTATATAAGGGATCTTAGCGCTGCTTGTTTTCTCGTGGTGGAGATCTCACTTTTATGCAACAGAGTAGTAGGGTGAGGTAGTATATATTGATAGGTAATGAGGTAGTATATATTGGTAGTTACCTATCCCCACTAGCGGACACTTAGAAACGATGCTTATACGCAGAGGAAAGAAGGGACAATGGCAGAAATCACTGGCCATGGACGAAATATGGTGATGACTAGGTGCATGGTTGCGCCACTCAATCTTAGGTTACCAGTTGGTCTTCGGGAACAGGTCTGGGGCTTGTCACAACAAAATATGCAATGAGAGGTTTCTTGATCTGTTCGACTCCGTTTTGACGCAGAAACAGCTTTTATTTAAGGTTATGCAGCATAAATTCAGCCTATGGGTGTCCGCTGTATAAGTTAATCGAACGCCGATCCATCTCAATAGATAGAAGAGACATGCCATCAATGCTAGCCCGGTTATCACTTTGATTAAGCGGTTGAGGCATCTTGTCGTTATGCATTTCGAGCAAGGAAATGATTAGGGCTTAGCCAATTGTACACATAGCAAATAATCAAAGATCATGTAACCTCTTAGAGGGAAGCTATTTTTCGTAGTCTATACTGAATTCTTCTCTGCTAGATGTGAAAGATTTCTGAAAGAATCAGAAGGTGAGTAATCAAAGCTACCTGGGCAGTCTTGTAAATGATTATCTGTTCAGGAACGGCATAGAAAGCGATTTTATATGGTTTAGTCGAGTACGTCGACTAGACAATATTTCCCGTATCACTCTCGACAAAATTCACGAATTGCAGACAAAACTGATTCAGGTGCTTGCTCCGGAATGGAATGACCGGAATCAACACTGTAGCCCTGCACAGAAACACTTCGTTCCGCCACTGCTTTCCATTCTTCAACTGCCTTGAAAGACTTCTCGATAACACCATGTTTGCTCCATACAACTAACACTGGGCATTGCACCAATCGATGATTTCTTATATCTTCCCGGGCCTCGTCTAGGTCAAACGAGGCGCTGGCTCGGTAGTCATTGCACATGGCGTGGACTGTATCAGAGTCTTCTAGATTTTTGACATAGGTATCAAAACATTCTGGGTCAAAAATTTTCAATTCCTCCCGAGGCTGTTCCCCCATCAGCAGTTCCATCACTTTTCTGGGCTGCCCCGACAAGAATGTCTCGGGAATTGGCTCATTCTGAATGAATAAGAACCAGTGAAAATAGGCCTTGGCGAAATGAAACTCTATCTTGTAAACATTGCCAGCGTTGGACAAATATCGAGAAGGATTGTTTTCTTTACTCGAATGGGGTAATCAACGCAGAGCTTGTGTGCCACTTGGGCGCCCCGATCATGAGAACAGATGTAGAAAGAATCGGTGAAGCCTAGAGTGTCCATTACGGCAATGCAATCACGAGCCATGGCACTTTTTGCGTAGGCCTGCACACCTGCAGGCTTGGAAGACTGTCCATAACCACGGATATCAATCAAGACAACCGTGTATTTGTCGACAAGATGGGGTGCAACGCGGTGCCAGGCGTATAGCGTCTGAGGGAATCCGTGTAGCAGAAGCAGTGGTGGAAGGGAAGACGACGCATCGCCACTCCTTAGACCATGAATATTTATAGCAGGGTCTGCTTGAGTTTGGACTGAAAATGGGTCGAATTCGTGAAACAGAACCATTGGTGCAGAAACGTTGTGGAATATAGATTGTGCGCGGGATTATGATCGCCTCAGATCCATACAACGATACCTACATATGTAGGTAGTACTTTTTACAACCTATGGGATATCTTTCAAGATGGAGTGGACCCATTAACTTAGAGACCATTTGCTATTGCGTGTGTGCGTAACTAAATGAAAAGTTACGGCAGCATGTATCGGGTAGGGAAAAGCGCTGATCATTTTGTCGCATATTATAAGTTCTATCTGAAAAATAGTATAGCTTGTTCCTTATTTATCAAACCTCCGGAAGCCAAAAAATCGCACGTATTTGTCGTAACGTGTCCGCATATTACTAGTATTTTAGTTGTATCTTAATTTAGAACGCACTAATGAGACATAAAGCTGCATTTCGTATGTAGTTCGATCTGCACAGCTTTTTGCCAGGTGCATTATTATGCGGTGCCGATAATACAACAACTCGGTTTCCTATATGGAAAGTGGTTTTTATTCATGTCCCTCCTTGACTTTTGAAGACCTGTCGCGAAATCCGGGTATTCCACCACCGGAAGAAGTTAAAAAAGGGCAAGTTTGTACTCCTTCACTCTGACGGACCTGCTCAGATTGTAACTGACGCAGTGCCGAATACTTTTGCATCCCATCGGACTCGTCGTAAATGACGGTTTGGATCCTTGACTTGATTTCGCGCGTGTAACCAGCGACGGTTATCCATAAGAATAATTGAACCCCAGGATAAATCCTGGGCCGTCAGATGTAAAGTATGTGAATTGGAGACAGGACCGAGGATGACACGTTTTAGCTCTTCCAAGGCTTCTGCGGCCTGCGGATTCAGCGGTGTAATGATGTCTTCGCGGAAACGAAGCTGAGCTGCCTTTCCATCTGCACTTCTAGCTAGTAAACTCCCAACGACATATTCATCCTCTGGACACTTTTCGAACTCAGGAGGAACAGCAATTCGATAATGCGGGGCCGAGAGCCATTTTTTTGCGAATGGGGAGAGAAGAGCGAGCAGGTGTCCAACTTTCAAAACAGACAAAGTACCACCACCACAGGTATCCGGTTGAAGAACATGCAGGGCAAAGAATCGCGGCGGGTGTGTCTCATAGCTGCAGTCCGTATGCCAGGGAAAGCCTTCCATTGTTTCCGACCGAGCCTGGCAATTTTGGACACTTGCAGGCGTTGGACGAATGTCCCACGTCCATCCTCGGTTGGCGCTGTGGGTGATTGGTAGGCCGTGGCCGTGGGTTTTGTGAAGGCCCCTCACGAGGGATTGGATGTAGTTGCTATTGTGATCCTCGAAGGCAAGTTTGATATGGACGATTGCATCGTGTTTGAGGAATCGATCGATAGTACTGAGGTGAGTTTGATGAGAGGCAAGGTTTGGATGCGGGACAGTGACGTAGGGAATAGTTGATACTGAACCTGTTTGTCAGTTGTGAAAATAGAATGGCATGTGAGAATCACTGACTGGTACAAGGACGAAAACGTATTAATTGCGGCATGTTGAAGAACTGATATACAACATAGAATGGTCAGATACTGTTTCGGTAAGATATTCCCATGGGACAATCCTCCGATATTAAAGAATCTGGGTCTTGCCGCTGTTGCTCCACGGCACAGGGTATCCATCGTTCATCGTTCCATTCAGCCACCGAGACCTATACTAGCGCATACGCGCCTTGGTATTTACAATACAGACCCATAAAATGCCATAAACATAATGCACTGAAACTTTAAAGGTACGGAAACCTGCCACCCCTATATTATGTCCCTACCTTGCTCTAGAACTCCTAGTCGCCACGGAAACCCCTGTAACTTTTGAAGTAAATAGTTTGTGCCTTGTCCAGCTTGGCCATAGTTAACTACATCTGGGTCGCTGAATAAAATAGTCTTGCAGTAGTTGGTTTTGGACATACTAGTCGCACATATTTAAACTACTTCGGGTAGCCATACGAAGATACCTCGAAGCACCCATTTCTAGACCTATATATGTGAACTATAGTGACATAGCGCTAACAAAAGATAATATTCACTAATGTGCGAACCCAGCACGCTACTCCATGAAGCCATCAAAACCGACGAGCAGCTAAAACCAAGCGATCGCTGAGAAGTTCACCTAAAATATATATCGTTTCTTAATCAGGTCAGACGCTCTCTCGGCCACGGCATAAAGACTGCTGGTCAAATGGCCAGAAAGTTGGAAGGGCAAGACAGAAGCATCAACCACTCGGACATTTTTAGTACTGTAAACCCTAAGCTCGGGGTCGACAACACCACCTTTATCCCGAGGCAGCATGCTGGCAGTGCCAACTGGGTGGAAGTTCGACCTATCTGAAGGGGGTCAGTCAATATTCTCGAGCTCTAACTTATAAAGAGACATTACGGACATTGTGACTTAACCCAGCCTTCCCATATAGAGTCCGACGCATTTTCTGGAACATGCTTCTGTCCCGGTGCCAATTCTTCTCCCACAACGGTTCTCAGAGGGGACGTACTGAATGCCTTGCGGATATATCGAGCCACATCAGCATGGGCTTTGAGGTCCTGTCCGAACATAAAGTAATTGGGATTGATAGAAGGCGGCTGGGAGCCGTCTGTGGAGTTTATGTGGACACTTCCTCTCGAGAATGGAAGAAGAGGCCAGTATTCACTGGAAAACGAGTTCCCAATGGGCAGGAACACAATCTCCGCGTACGGAACCTGTGATTTGAATATTTGATCGTGTTGGAGTTGAAAAGCAGCCAGAACATTGGCTTCTTGGACTGCACCGTTGGAATGTTCCGACACTCTTTTTGCATATTCCGCCAGGCTTGAGTTGACATCAGACGCAATGGTGAGGACATCCTCACCGAATATGTGATCGGCTGATGGTAGAGCGGAAAATGTCGGCGAACCAAGCCAGAAGTCGTTCCCTTCATAAGAGAACCCATTGTTGGTCTGATCCTGCAAGTTCTCACCGACAGTGGAAATATTGACTTGGACAGCGATGTCAAACTGACGGAGAATATCAGGATTTCCAATGCCAGACAGCTCCAAAATCATAGGCGATCTGAGGGACCCAGCCGACAGAATTACCTCCTTCGAAGCGTAGATCGTCTCAACTCCATTGACCCCAGTAACTTCTACACCAATAGCAACGGCCTCGTTGCGGGAATCGCTTTCCCAAATGATCTTATTCGCAGAAGTGTTTGAAATAATTTTGAGATTAGGACGATGTTGGTAGGGCCAATAGTAAGCTCTGGCTGCATCATGGCGAACATTAGCCTCCCTATCGACCGTATTGGGATGGACCGTGAGTCCCACCATGCTACCACCATTGCAATCCCTATTGTAGGGGAGACCTAGTTGCTGGAAGGTCTCATCAAGCTGGGGTAGCACGCTGCTGTTTGTCATTGCTCGAGGCCAGCCGACTTTGAGCGGGCCATGCTCCCCATGATAGGCGATGTAATAATCAGCGCCACGAGCAACTTGTTCTGGTGTGGGCACCTGGAACTCTTCTGGTTTCTTATAGTATGTGAAAAGGTTCTTCCAATTCCAACCGTCGTTTCCGACTTGTTCCCATGCATCAATTTGAACCTTTTGCGCTCGAGTGTACGACATCCCTATTTGAAGCCAGAGTTAGCATACTTAGCATAAGCCGCAATAGATTCCCACAGCTTTATTCCATTGAATGCCGAGGATTAGGTAGCCAAATACCATTTATAGTGCTTGTACCACCAATGGCCTTCCCAGCACGGATAATCTGCTTCGACCCCCCTGCATACGTTTGATCTTCGGTTTGGTAGGCCCAGTCAATCTCTGTCCCGAATGCTCGACCATAACCCGTCACAGCAGAAACGTTAGCATTATTGAGGACTGAATCTCCAGCTTCGATCACTGCCACGGTGAAACCTTTCATCTCTGAAAGTCTATTAGCAACAACCAATCCGCTAGTACCTCCGCCAACAATAACAAAATCATATCGTGAAGCTGAGCCATCTTGGTTCTTCGCATCAACTGCACATAGCCAAATAATTGCACACCCAATAGCTGATAGGAGCATGGTGAAAGACAGACCCGAACAAAATGGAGGGGTTACTTTCTTGCAGAGAGGAGCCGTGTAGCTTGTTTGTACAACATACACAGGTTATCAAGTACAATGTTTAAAGAGCGAAGGGTCAGGAATCTCACAGATTTAAGCAATACCCCGCTAGTGGTGTTGGGGTTGCCAGGTTGACAGTTGGAATGTTGGCTCCATTCTCCACGTGCAGGGACATGTAGAACATCAAAAGTACAATATAGGGAAGAAAACAAATAATATGAAAAAAGAAAAAAAAAAGGTTTTTTTAAAAAAAAACATAACAGAAGAACAATAATGGGAGGACTTGAAAAGAAAAAGAAATCTTATATCATCAGATGCATCACATACTGTACAGCACACCGACGTCGAACAGGTGCGGCTGAGAAGCGGAACAAGTGCTGAGTTGGCTTTGTTTGCAATGTCGAACTAAAAATGCATTTCTAGAGAACGTTACTCAATGACTGATTTCAACAGAGAAGGAAATAAGTGGCATTCACTGTCAATGGCATCGACCTTGCACCATCTCAACGGATATCAACAACCACAGAAACGCACGCAATATCCAAGAGCTTCATGCTATTTCCCCTGCTCTCTCTCCAAGTTTGATATCTTCAGTTTTCTTCACACGAGGACTTTGCGCCTTTTATAATTGTCGAAAGAGTAAAGCTGTCGGAGATCCACAATGTTCATATACGGGTCATATTCAAGTCAAAGTCCGACCCAGGGATCGACAGGCTACCCATATGAATATTTCGGCATAGACAGTTGGGGAACCAAGACGTGAGGAGTAGGTTGGATATCTTGTTCAGATTCAATCCCTCGAGGGAGATCCGCGTAGTTCTGGACAAGTTCCAAGATCTTTTTCGGTGAGAAGAAACGCTGGTGTCAAACTATAGCTGGGACCCTACCCAGGCCAACTGAGCCTGGATGCATTTCTTATGGTAATTCACCAAGGGAAATTGGCCAGAGTTAACCAATTCTTTGTTTCCGCCTCACCCAAACCTCTTGGTCTGTACTCCCAGGTGCCGACGAGTCGCGCAGCTGCACCTCCCACACCTTGAGTGTGTAGTTACCACGATCAGCGCGCCCAGAGAATATATCAAACGACCACCCATGCTTCGGACATGTGAGACCTGCGCTCAGCACGATGCCAAAGTCTTCAATATCAAAGAGGTTGCCCCGTGAAAGTGGGAACGACGAGTGGGGACATTGCTAGAGAGGATGAGCTCAATCCTTCTGATTAGAAGAAGCCTCTAACTCACATGATCAATGGCATGATATTTGCCCTTGTATTTGAACACGAGCACTTGGTCTTTCAGTTCTCCTGGTAGGTCAATATCTTCGACTGGCTCTATGGTGTCGTTTGTCTTGGGGATATTGAAAGCTTTGCATCTTGGCATAATCCGGGCATCATCATCAATGCTCGGGAATTCGGACGCAAGGCCGACCAGGTGCCAGGCGGCGTTGGGCCGTGTGAAGGGATTCATTGCCAGCGCAAGAGGTTGGTCTCGGTTGTCGGGGGAAATCTCCCACTTCCGCCCCACATGATTTCGGTGGGGTGTTTTCTCACCCGATATTCAAGATAACAGTAACGACATATACGCAGTACGGGGTAAATAAGAATAGGGGAAGCTTAACAGCTTATATATGAATGAAGTGCTAAGACCTACAGAGCTACGTGTCGAGTTACATTGACAGCCACATAATATAGTATGAAGTTTGGATTCTATCAATTCTTCTATCTAGAACTGGTTTTACGTACCCTATTTTCTACCAGCCTAAGGAACTGCTCTTTTGCTTGAATTTTGTTCTGCATGGTTTTCTTGCGATTTCAATTGTCATAACATGCACATCGAGTTCATCTTGATAGCAGTGTGGATCATGATATAACAGGGGATGGAAACGGGATAATCATCATCTTTGGCCCATAAGACACTCGAAATGAATATGTGGTTTTGGCCAGATCATCTGACACACATGAAACCGCAACCTTCGCGGGCACGCTCACAAGCCTTCTTTAGAGCCTGTTCCTCGACGTCGGTCCACTTGTACGTTAGCTGATCCCATGGCTTGCCAGATCGGAACTCTTCACGGTGCTTCTTGTGGATGGATTGCAAACGGCTCACTTCACGTGGATCGCCTGTCCCGGAATAAACAATGAAAAGCGTACATGGAGGGAGAGAGTCATAAATGCGCGAAATGTTGGAGACGGTCCGGGAGACAGTGTCAGCCAAGACATCAGGCTGCAGAAGATCTGTCGAGTCCTCATTACTAGAGGTTGTGGTCGGTGTGGTCTGCTCAGGAGGAGGGAAAAGGGTTGTGGATTCGTTGGCGTTGTTTGGGTCAGGGAGACGGCTGCACCAACCACGAAGATATTCGAGCTCACGAATGCGAGCCCAGGCAAAGTCAACACCACCTCCTGGAATGGAGGGATTGGACTCGTCGCCATTGATTACCGCAGAGACACCGCTGACGACTGCATCGTCATTTCGGCATCCAATTGAGACAGCTGCCTGAGCACCAAACCCACGTTCTGGGTTGCCCCAGTCGACAACGGCTCCTGTTCGTTCCTCACCAGGACGAGGGAGATGACTCGGTCGAGTAGAGCGCGATAGCCGACGGAATATGCTCTCGTTGGAAACATCACTCGTGCCCCATCGCTCACCTTTCTCGCACTTCAACTTCACAAGTTCAAGAACAGCACGGGCGTCCTCAATGGAGTCATGCCCGGCCATTCCGCTTTGTATCTGCTTATTCTGGTATTTCTGGGTGAGCCATTTCAGGCTACATTTGAGTGGCGGACCCCGTGGGTGCGGGTAAATGATGCTGGTATCGACAATGAACGGGTGGACCAGCTTGAGTGCTGTGAGGTCGGAATTAAGGGAGTGTCCCACGAGTATCGAACGCGGCGTGAGAAGAGTCAACAGCCGGTGCTGAATATCAGGGAGGGTCGTGGTGACAGGCTCGAGCATCTCGGGGGTAATTCCAGAATAACGTGTGAGATAGTTGATCACTGGCCGTGCTGGTTTGACCAGTTCATCAAGGACCACCTCGCCGTCCCAGCCGACCATGCTGATGCGTGTGAGTTCAGACTGACCCCCCTCGGTAATACACATCTCACAGTCGAGTGCAAAAACATCTCGACCAGCAGTGACGCTGCCACTTTCAATTTCAGCTTCGGGTGGTTGAGCAGACTCCAGTGTTGGAACTTGAGTATCCACCCATCCATCTTCCACCGAGTGCCCACCTCGCCGACGAGCCTCCACCTGGGAGGATTTTTCGTCATCGGAAGAGAAGAAAACAGGATGCAAGATAAAGTCGTTTTCCAGTAGATCCTTGCGCGAAGTGACAAAGGCTGTGATTGGGGTTCGTTTCGGAACGAAGCCTTTCTCTACTTTTGCGGGCCGTGCGCCCTTTGTACGGGAGTCATCATTCTTGGTCTTGGGGGGCGAGGACATAAGAATCGCCTGCAGTGGCGAATGGACCTTATTGTATTTGTTGTCGCCTGGCGCCTTGACAGGCCAGATATGGGGAAACATGTCGGCCAGGGGCTGAAGTGGTTCCGGGAGGTTTTCGCGTGTGATAGATCGAGGATTAAAGCGATGCGAGCGGTCCGGCAATGGGAGGCCCTGTTTCCATCGCTCGTAATCAGCAGCATGTTCGTCTTTCGGTGTCTCCTCAGTGGCTCCCGGCGCATTCATCTTGCGCTCCTGTGTCTCTTGCTCCCCAGTGGCTGATTCTCGTTGCACAGAGATCGTTCCATCAAACATGCCCATCTCGAGGCCAGGCGCCATCAGTACGACCACCTTGCGCACATGTCCAGAGTGCTTCATAGAGATCCATTGGGGTGCGATGCCATCGGCGAAGCAATAGAGGAGCAACCCTTGGAGATCGGCGATCCGGATAGGTGACACTAATTTTCCATCGGCGTATGTGAGATCTGGGTATTTGACTTTCTCGCCATCAACTCTTTTGCGCTTCTTTGACGCATGACTGCCGTTCGAACGTTCGCTCGGGTTATCGCTCTGCAGACGGGACAAGGTATCGGCCACACCGAATCCCTGAGGAGTGAGTTGACCAGTCGGATCGTCCGAGCTGAGCTTTCTCTTCCTGTCTTTTCCCATGGTGTCTTCGGATTTGCAGTTTCATCGCTGAACTCACAGCATGGAAATTCATGATGATACGCGATAAAGTCACGTGCTATCGATAAAGTCACGTGGGCGGGAGAATAGCTTACCCGGTAACTAGTTATCGCAGACTTTTCCGGCTTACGTACAACAAACGGCACGCCGGAGACGCCAAACGATCTGATAACCGTAAGATTGGAAATCTGGGATCGCCGTGCAGGGCTTATTTTGGTATCCATCACGCCATTCCTCCGACAGCTCTTCTTCGCTTCTCGACTTCTCGACTTTGAACTCACCTTGACACTTGTTAGTATCATCAAAGAGTAATACCTCTCATCGCCGATCCGATCCCGCGCTTCGCCATCAGTTCCAGTCGTTTCATCATCCTGTCACACACTCCACCATGTCGGCACTCACCGAAATCACGTCTGAGGCCGACTTCTCATCGCATCTCTCTTCCCTATCACCTTCTGCGTTGGTCGTCCTATACTTCCACACTCCATGGGCTGTCCCGTGCGAGCAGATGGGCGCAGTGCTTTCAGCCCTCGCTCGGCGGTACCCCGCCGCTGCCCCGCCGGCCATCTCGTTTGTCAGCATCAACGCCGAGGAGCTACCTGATATCTCGGAGGCGTATGAAGTTTCAGCTGTGCCCTTGGTTATGTGCCTACGTAGCGGCCAAATTTTAGAGTCGATCAGTGGAAGTGATGCCGTCAAGGTTCGTGACGCTGTCGAGCGCCACGCTGGCCGCGGAAATGTTGCGGGTGCCGTCGGTCCGATGGACAGTGTGAAGGCCAATATCCCCCCACCGCTCTCTGTTGTTCCTCATGAGGATGGTCCCTTGACTGCTACTCAGGCTCCCGTTACCGCCTCTAAGCCTCCTGCCGATGCGGCTAACGCAACTCCCGTCGCATCTGGCCCCGCCCTGACATCGGAACAATCCCGGGAGGCATTATTTGCCCGCCTCGCACAACTGGTCAAGGCCGCATCTGTCATGCTGTTCATGAAAGGGACCCCGAGCAGCCCACAATGCGGATTCAGTCGGCAGCTGGTTGGCATCCTACGCGAGCGTAGTGTCAAGTACGGCTTCTTCAATATCTTGGCCGATGAGGATGTGCGCCAGGGTCTGAAGGAGTACGCCGAGTGGCCAACCTTCCCTCAATTGTGGGTGAATGGAGAATTGGTGGGTGGCTTGGATATTGTACGTGTTTCGTCCCACTCCAGGTATTTGATTCGATTATTAACTCAATGGTACAGGTTCGCGAGGAGATCAACAGCGACCCCGATTTCCTCAAAGACCACTCGGCAAGCAAGTCCGCCGCGGCTGCTTGAGCGGTTAGTTGGCCGATGCACGATACCCATAGCCCCACTGTCTCTGGGGCTAGATGCTAAAAGCCTAACATAATGATAAATGTTTTTGTCTTGATACGGCTTATATGCATGTCTGATCATATATTATCCTTCCCATTGTTGCGGGACACGCCCTTGCTACAAATTGAAATAAGCAGCGTCGAATCAAACCAATCCATTGTCACAGACCACCCTTGTTGACCATGCCAAATCCAACATATTCATTCTCTTCAGAAACTTGCATTGGTAGTTCAACCTACCTTTCATCGCAATTACTGTGTCAAGTGATTACACTGAAGCTGCGCTCGGGTCTCAAGAATATGAATGCGTTATACTCACGTTGGATTCTACATATGTAGGCATCGATCGCGTGTCGACAACTTGAAGACCCCAGACTAATAATATATCACATTCGTATATTCAATCAACTGCTAGAAAGAGGGAGATGACGCCGACTCTTGAGCACGATTCAGATGTAATGTTAATCGATCTTCGTTCTTTGAACTGTACTTCCTTCCCTGTCGTTCTCGCGCCCCTGATAGACTTTTGGTTTTCCACAATCACTCGCAGTCCCTCTTTAGCCACTCTTTAGCCTCCTGCTTCTTCTTATGTTTCACTTTTGTCCTAGCTGTTGTCTCTGTTGTTCGCCGCCAACGCTTTCCGGGCCTTTTTGGTCCAAACATATGGATGCTGATGCTTACAGACAGCAAAGCGGGATAGCAGAGCATCCGTGTCGACATACGCACCTGCTAACCAACGAGAACCTACGCTGGCATTGAATTGGCGGCGGGCATGAACGATGCGTCTGTTATCAAAGATGACGCAATCACCCGGGTTGAGCTTGAGCTCAAAGATGTGCTTCTGGTTATCAATAATTGAAGTGAACTTAGCAAGGGCGTCTCGTAGCTTGTTCACGGGCTCAGCATCATGCCCATTACCACCGCGTGGTGGGAGTGGAGACTGAAAGGGGGGCGAGTAATTGACATGGCGCAGCTCGTCTGTTTCGGAATCATGCTCAAAGACGGGTCTTTCGTTGTAGTATATGTGCTCCTTGTGCCTATATTCGTATCCCAGCCGCCGGTCACGGAGCACTTTATACTCTTCTGGGTATCGCTCCTTCATGAGTTTCGCAGCCGAAAATGTGTCTGCGAACAGTGACTCGCCTCCCGAACATGAGTTCTCCAGACAGTGAAGCAGCTGGTACCCCGGCGGCTCGTTCATATACATCAAATCCATGTGAAATCCAAGGAACTGGTTTGTATATGCGACGTTTATAGCCTCTGGAACGGTGCGCACGTCGAATGTTGATCCGTAGAAGGTGTTTCGTAGTGGTCCCATGCGTGTTGCAATAGCTTCAACCATCGATCGTGAGTCTGGGACATCCTTCACAAAAATAAGGCCCAGACGCTGCAACTGCTTCATCGCCGTAGCAAATTTGGAATTATCGGCGATATAGTCAGGGTAAGACACCCAATGTTGACTTCTCTCCATTTGAGCCCGTCCCCACATGATCGGATTGCAGTTCGCACTCGAATGCTGACGATGAGTGTTGAAAATGGGCTTCTTTAGAAAGTCACGGTCCCAGGTTGATTCATGCGCAGTCTCAGAGCCCCCAATGTCGTTGGCCCACCTGATTGCAAGCCTTTTTCCATCCCAGTTAATCCAGCTTGGAGCGATGTCCTTGGGAATGTCACTTGTGCGGAACGAGCGCTGCTTCGAGTGTCGATCCTTGCACACTGCACACTGGCATGAATCGCGCAGGTAAGTATATGGCAGTTTGGTTGTGGTGTTCTTGTCTATATGCAAGTATAGTTCCTCTTTTCCAGCCCAGATCGACGCTTTTTTTCCCACTTTTAGGACGGTTTTTCTTCGAACCACATCAGAGGTGGTGTTTTGAACATCGCCCTTAGAACTGTTGGATTCTTGTGATATATGCGGTAGATGGTCGACTCCTGGGGCAGCAGCTTCCAATTTGTCGTACGAGTCTGGCTCTACAGAGCTGTTGAACCTCCTCGGGGAAGCTATCAAGTTACGGCGCGGGATAGAGTATGACAAAGCTCGTGGCAATTGCCAGAGGGTAGCTGAAGTTCGGAGACGATGCATGAAGGTCCCGTAAACCAGTCAACAAGGAGAGACGATCAGTAGAAGGGCAGAGAGGGAGGATAAAATCAACGTCGAGGAGCAGGCGGGACAACTGGAACGGAGCTACGAATTACCTCGGCTTGTGATTCTTTCATGCCTGAGGCACTAAATGATACCTCAGGCGGAAATATCATTCTTCCTGATGACATTCCCCGGGGGGGCCATCCCGGAACTTACGTAAATTGCCCAATTGACGTTGTTTTTTTGTTCTTTATCATTCCAAGGCAGACTCAGAAATCAACATGGATCTTCATGCTTCAATTTTATTAACCTAACCCAACCACCATACAGACATATTCAGTCTGTAAGAGGAAGCACTCTCAACTCATGTCGGCCGGGGGCGAGCATCTTAAAGATGAAGGCACCAAGCGACAGGTCGTATTGGCCGGCGGGATTGCAGGGCTGATCTCACGGTTCTGTATCGCGCCACTGGATGTTGTCAAGATCAGGCTGCAGTTGCAAATTCATTCGTTGTCGGACCCTACCTCCCATCAAAGTGTCAATGGGCCTGTTTATAAGGGGACATTGTCCACCATGCGGACGATTATGATGCAAGAGGGGATCACCGTACGTTGAAAGACCACCTTCTCGATATTAATGTCATCAGTCTAATGCGAATTCCTTCCTATAGGGCCTTTGGAAGGGCAATATTCCTGCCGAAATGATGTATGTCTGCTATGGCGCTACGCAATTCACCGCGTATCGAGGAACAACCCAAGCCCTCGCCCAACTGGGTTCCTACCGACTTCCCCAACCCGTCGAATCTTTCCTCTCGGGCGCCGTGGCAGGCGGATGTGCCACGGCGGCAACATATCCGCTTGACCTTCTCCGCACGCGATTCGCCGCACAAGGCCCGGACCGTGTATATGGCTCGCTGCGCGCCTCAATTGTGGAAATAGCTCGACATGAGGGCGTGCCGGGATTCTTCCGGGGATGTTCTGCCGCTGTGGCGCAAATTGTGCCATACATGGGACTTTTTTTCACGACATATGAGGCACTTAGACCAGCCATGACCTGGGACGCTCTGCCGTTGGGTACAGGGGATGCCGCAGCCGGTGTCGTGGCCAGTGTACTGGCTAAGACGGGTGTTTTCCCGCTCGACCTCGTGCGTAAGCGCTTGCAGGTACAGGGTCCAACAAGGACCCGCTACGTTCATCGCAATATCCCGGAGTACAAGGGGGTCCTGAAAAGTATTGCCATGATTGTCCGTACCCAGGGCGTGCGTGGTTTGTACCGTGGCTTGACAGTCAGTTTACTTAAGGCGGCACCAGCAAGTGCTGTGACAATGTGGACCTATGAACATGCATTGAAAGTCCTTCGAGAGTTCGATCTCGCAGCTGACAGTTGAACGGATTCTTCAACTTGTATCATTAATAACAATTTTGCATGGATCATTTGATGGCGTTATTACTAGAGTGTTCAGAATCGGATGTACAATAAGGCGAAAAGTCACATAATACTCATCGATTTGATTTGACTCGATTCCTCTTTCATTTTGATTTGATTTTGGATACGTTTTTCAGACCTTCCCTCAGCTCATCAATCAAACACGGCCTTTCATCGGTCGAATAGACAGATCCCTAGGAGAGTATGAACGGAGGAGAAGCGGCACAGAAAGCCAGTGCGGCAGATTCTCGGAGAGCTCAAGAATATTTCAATGCGTGCTGGAAGGAGCAACAAGACAAGTACAGAGTCAGTACTCAACTCCTTCCGGGCCGCTGTCCTCAGCCACCTCCTCGTAATCTTTCTCGAGTGCCGCGAGGTCCTCACGGGCTTCAGAGAATTCGCCTTCTTCCATCCCTTCACCAACATACCAGTGCACAAACGCACGCTTGGAGTACATAAGGTCGAAATTGCGATCCAGGCGACTCCATGCCTCAGCAATCGCGGTGGTGTTAGACAGCATACTAACCGAACGGTCGACACACGCAAGTTCATCGTCAGGACGACGCACAGGCTTTTGGTAGTTGATGCCTAACTTGAATCCGGTAGGACACCACTCAACCAAACTGAAAGTTCCCCTAGTTTTGAGGGCGTGGACAGCCTTATTGCAGTCATGGGGTACAACGTCACCCTTGTAGAGTAAAGCCACAGCCATGTACTTACCCTTTCGTGGATCGCAGTTCACCATCTGGTTGTTGGGTTCAAAACCTATGACCGAGTCAGAAGGAACATACACCCGTTTAGAATAGTATTGACGAACACTGGAAGGTGAGATCCTGGACCTTGAAACTCTCGTGAGAGCTGCGCTGGCTACCGATCACCGGAGCATACGAAATCAATGGATAGTGAATACGCGGGTACGGGACAAGGTTGGTCTGAAACTCAGCCAAATCGACATTGAGCGCGCCATCGAACCGCAAGCTAGACGTGATGGAGCTCACTACCTGAGCAATGAGACGGTTGAGATGCTCATATCCAGGACGAGGAATATCCAGATTGCGTCGGCAGATATCGTACACGGCGTCGTTGTCAACTAGGAAGGTACAGTCGGAGTTCTCAATGGTGCTGTGGGTTGAGAGGACGGCGTTGTAGGGCTCTACCACGGCAGTCGATGTACGCGGAGAAGGGTAGATTGAGAATTCCAGCTTGGACTTGCGCCCATACATGCTGGTCAGATGATCCAACAAGAGTGAACCAAAACCAGATCCTGTACCACCACCAAAGGAGTGGAAAATCAGGAAGCCCTGTAGGGAATGGCAATTCTCTATGAAGACATTAGCTGAAAAACAATCAGGGTTGAGGCCTGAGTTAGCAGGTTCGTACCGGCCACATAACGAATGCTGTCGATCACGGCTCCAGAAATCTCCCTCCCAACGGTGTAATGGCCCCGAGCATCTGCCGCATGTTAGCCCCTCAGTTACCAGCTTCACCCACAGGGTGAATTGTTCGTACAGTTGTTTGCCGCATCTTCGTTCCCACTGATTAGCCCCTGTGGACGGAAAAGATTGCGGTAGGTGCCAGTGCGAATCTCATCGATCGGCTAGCACGGTTTATTCAGCTGGTAGACCTTTTGACAACTTTGTGGTCTGTCACATACCGATGGGTCAAGATCGACGAAGATGGAACGGGGAACAAATTTGCCGCTGGAGGTTTCAGTAAAGAAAGTCTCGTAAGATCCACTTTTTGCAGCCTCGTCGGTAACATCGGGATCGATAAATCCGTCAGGCCTCAGACCGTGTTCAAGTAGATACCTGTGTCGCATCTTGATCAGTAAGGATATCGAGGATACTAGACAATGTGGAGACGTACAGCTCCCAGGCAGCATTACCAAGCTGGGTGCCGGCCTGGCCAATGTGTATATGACAGATCTGGTAGATTCAAGCCAGTATTAGCGTTCCTCCTTTCGTTTGGTTTCAGGTATTGGATGAGAGCCAGTGTAGCTTGGTGGCGGAGGGAAGTATATGGAAAGCTCGAAACGAGAGCAGTCCAGCAGGATGGTAGAGCATACATACCTCGCCTCGCATGGTGGATCGTACTGACAAGTGCTAGGATAAAAATGAGGATGAGGATGGGAAGTTGTGGGGAGAGGTAAGAGAAGATGTTGGGGCATGATCTCTTTGACGTGGAAGCAACATGGGCAGGTCACCTGGTTACGACAATTCCAACTATTCAGCAGGATATTTCTATCAAAGTTGTCTCAATACATGCAGAATCCCAAGTATCTATCAAAGACTAATATCCATGGCCCCAAACCGTCTCAGAATCCCGTATATATGATTGGACACTATCATCAATGAAAGGTTCCTGCATTATAAGGCTCGCAATGCAGCTTTCCTAGCTAGATAGAAGTCCCGGGCCACGGATCGTATAACAATGTCCGAGGTCATATTTCCACAAGCTAACCCTACTTCATCAAGGCGATATGGTCAAATCGATACACCGCAAACGATGCACGGAGATGACGGTCTGAGATGCAAACTCCCGCTCAATTATGGCCTGCATCATGGCTTCTCTTTCCCAGTCCACATTAAAATATGGCGTGAGTCAACGATATCATCCATAGAACAGTTGGATACACTGTGCAACCTGCCAGTGGCTTCGTCTAATACCAAGATCGAGCTTTTCATCGACCTACGTGCCAGGGCAGAGGCTGACACTTCCCCAGTGACAATCTGATATTAGAGCAGCTGAGCCCTCCCCGCTGTTGGCAACCTTTTTCTATAGCCCCGCTGTTTCAAGCGCAGCTGTGAGACATCCGTCTGAAACGTGGTCAGTGGCGGAATCACACTCCAAGTTGAATCTCAGCGTTCCATCACATGAAGGACGGCGTGGAATGACATAGATATGAGATGGCATAGTGCATTACAAAGCTGTTAAATCTATCCCATCTACTCGAATGGAACCACTTTGTAGATCAATCATTTGGCAGCAACCCGAGGATGCGTGAAGTCTTACCACCCCGGATGGACTGCGTATCGGAAACCTTTAGCCAGGTTTGATGTGAAAGGAGAGCCGAGAGGGTAATTGAGCTAGTTTGCCAACATTCATATCAACTAGTATGAAAGAATACATGTGTAGTTTTGTCTTACTATAGGCGGCAATGATATTCCGCAATATAACTTCCCAGTGCTAGAAGCAGGCTAAATCTCAGATGGTGTTTTGCTGACGAAGGTATATATAAGGCAACACTCCGATATCTTTTTAGATGCCTTTTTCTTTATATATATTTTTTCTTCTCGTTATGTTTCTCTACGACCAGAAACCGTGCAAAGGATGTTTCGATGTATAAGTGGAGATTCGTGACAGCCGTGGCTTTACGGAGTAGACTTCCATATATCAGTGCTGACATGTTCATTCTTGTTAAGCGTAGCGATGGAGTCACGGCTAGCAGTTACATATTGCCGATGCAACCTCGCGGGCTAGAATGGCCGTCTAAGAGTGACATGGAACGAAGATTCATTGAAAGAAAGCTAGATGTAATGGTTTAAATACAGGTAGAAAATGAACGTGTTTTTATTCGACCCGCTATATATGATCAATAGGCCGCCAGAAGATAATGAACAAGAGCTTTAAGGCCATTGTGAGGATAAATGCATGGTAGAAGGACAGGTTGTAGTTCTATTAAGACACGGTGCGCCACAATATATGAAATGGGGAAAGAAAAATATGACAGTTTATGTTCAGTGGATGAAGATGAAATCAATAGACGAGATTGAAAATTATCACAGCTCAAATCAATTTGGGTGCTCCTTGGCAGCAGGGACCGTGGCCGGCGGGGGTAGAGTCGGCTCATCAAAGCGGCCCTGCTCCATCAAGTCGTCACGATCGTGACCCACACTGCTGCGGTGTTGGAAGAACCGGTTGCGACTGAGCGATGACCGGCCACTACGGAAGCTGTGAGCGTCGGTCGACCCGCGACCGTCGTCATTATTGGAGGGAGCGCTCAGGTTAGAGGGGCGACGATGCCGGGAAGAAGATGTGCGGCTCCGGCGTTCCTCCTCGTCCTCGTTCTCTTCCTGGATGCGACGCTCTGCGGCATCGCGGTTGGCCGTACGGACGATATCATCGACGACCACACCCCGATCCTCGAACACATCTCCCATGATATCGTTGGATGCCATGGTGGACATGCCCAAGGAGAAGTCGACGTGCTTGCGCTGTGAGACAGACGGGCCGCGGGCACGGGCGCTGGCAGTGTACATACCCTTGCGGAGAATCGATGGGTGACGGACAGCGCTGCCGCTGCCGCTTCCGGTATTCTCCGGCAGGTTGTGGGACTCTTTTGACATCGGGACCTCCTCGGCGTCGGTGGGAACTGGCCCCCCGGTAGAGCGTGAATTGCCATAGTTGACGTGGATTGGCGTATCATATGTGTAACCCTGGAGGTTCATGCGTGGGCCCTCGATGCCGATCTCCTGGAGAGCAACCATGAGCATACATATGAACTTGTTGCGGCGCTGCAAACGGAGACCCTCGTTCTGCCAGTTGGACTTATAAAAGAAGACGATATTGAGTGTGAGCGAGAAGTTCTCGGTGACAGCACGCATCTCGGTGAGGATGTTGTTCTGGAAGTCGCGTTTCTCGCTACGCACAAACTCTAAGAGGCGCTGTCGCAAGGCGTCGAGTTGGTCGATAGTGGTGCCATACTTGATAATGATTGGAACTGCCTCGGCAAGTGCACCCGAACGGCGTTGGTTCAGGATGAACAGCGTATTGAGGTAGCTGTTTGGCGCCTGCACGACATGGCCTTGCATCTTCTTGAACTCGGTGTAAAGAAGAGTGATCTCCTTCACAAAGTAATCATCACCGAGGCCGGAATCACCAGAATTGCCGTAGATAGTCACACGGTCACCAACGTCGAAGGGGTGCTTGACAAAGACGAAGATAATCGACTGAAGGAACTCCTGGGCAGTAGCAGAGAACAACCAGGATAGGGCTAGAATAGCAGAACCCGCGGAGGTGAGCACACCGGCGGCCGAGGTTGAGATAAGCGTCAAGAACACAATCAGCACGATCACAAACACGAAGGTCATAAACACATTATCCAATTTCGATACGACCGAATCCAAATCCTTGAGGGATGCAGTGATGGACTTGCGCTCACGGCCAATGTCAACGCAAACAGCCTCTAGCTCCTCCATGGAGATATCACCATTCATGTCGCGATCAAACATCGCGAAGGCTGCTTCGGCTTCCTCGCCGTCCTGGAATGCGGCTTTCAGGTCACCACCAAAAACCGTATCAAACCCATCCCTCACAAAGGTACGATATAGACGACGCGCCAAGACCTGACTGCCTCCGGTAGTTCGCAGGAGCGCCAAAATGACCTGATAGGCATCGGTGCTGCGAGTAGTCGCACGGCCCGTGACATCAGCCATTACTGCGCCGGCGACATCGCCCACCCGGTTTCCAACTTTGTTGAGGGTACCCTTAGCCTTCCGCTGGGCCAAGCCAGCGTAGTGCAACGGGGTCTTGATTCCCGAAGGAGTCGGTTGCTCCTCTTTCTCCTCAAAAACATCATCTTTCTCACCGATAGTGGACCGAGACCATTCGTACAGCTTGGTCAAACTGCCGATCTGGAATTTGTTGATTTCAATGCGGTCCGCATAGGTGCGCATATGAAAACTGATAGCGATCAGCTGGATGATGATCTTTTCGATGAAATTTAGGATAGTCCACACGAAGACGACAATGATGATTTTGTTGAGAGTTCCTTCCCAACCCCTGGTCGCCGTGTTACCATCCACATGATGGTTTTTCATCGTTGGTAGAAAGGAGATCTCCACACCAAGCCACCAGAAAAAGAACGCGGCGTGAAGCTCGAGCTGTTTGGCCATATCGCGCCACTTCTTCGCATTATTGGTAAATATACTCGCAAGAAGACCAACAATCGGAGGCAAGCACTTTCCAACAAGCTAGGAGAAGATGGAAACCGATCAGTAATGCTTCTTGGGAATAGGTCACTGATTAGACTCACCCGTCCTGCCCAGAGAGTCAACCAGACGATTTCCAACCAAATTGAAAACCACATCAATTCTACACCACCAACGCTGGCATTGGGAAACCTGAGAGCGCCGACCAGCAACGGGATCAAGAGTAGGATGACAACGGGGGAAATGTAGGTCAAGTAGCGCACGAGGAAACTCGACTGGTGCAGCTTCTTCACAAAGACGGCAATCTGGGTATTCGGTTTCTCCGGGGGTTTATAAATTGCGGCCTTTTCGTGCAGAGGGTTTGTAGCTACATCGAACTCATCCACCATGTCAGAACGACGCGAACGGGCGCGATGGATAGAATTGCGGTCGTGTTCGTCGTCTGGTGCGCCGGTCGAATGCGAAGTCATACGCTCGGCTTGCAGGAGCAACAAGTCATCCTCCATACGGGTAGCCTGCTCCCGACGGGCGGACGGTGTGCGTATGGGAGGATCCTCCTCATCATCATGAGCATAATGTGTAGTGTCAACCTTTAAGTGACCCGCTTTGCGATCAGTTTCGGGCTCAGTCACATAGGTCTCATCATCGGAGGTGGGAGAGATGTCCGAGTCCTTGCGCTTGTCTTTTGGTTCGAGATGAGCTTTTCGTTCCTCCACGGGGGTTGACATAATGGCACCGGGCCAATTATAATGAGGGAGATCCGGTCAAGGCGGGAGAATTAGACTGGAATGTGGGGAGGGGATGCGTGGGAATGTGTATATTATATTTTAAGACCGTAACCAAAAAAGAAATGAAACGAAAGAAAAGAAAAGAGAATGTAGGGACAGAGAGGACAAAGAGAGGAAGAGAGGAAGAGACAAGAGAGAAGAGAAATAAATGATCGAGTGGAGTTGAGAGACCCATAACACTGCCTGGTCTGGGCCTTTTCTCGATTAGTTGGGTTTTATGACGATCTCGAACGTTGTATGCTATCTATTATATTGTATTCTATTTATTCTATTTATGGTATTTGAGTTCCATTTGAATTTAATTAGGTTGGTAGATCCAAGAGAATAGGGGGAATCTGGGATATAGGGGTGCGATATAACATA